TGTGTTGATTAAACACTGTTTTTTAATCGGAAAAAATACTGTTGAAGTCAAAAAAAAGTCAAAAAGTGACTTCATAAGCATTATAGAGACTCTGCACCAGGAAAATCAACTATCATTGACTGGTATGCTTAATTTAAACGCGGTCATACAGGCACCGATGATGCTGAACGCTCTGGTTGCCCAAAATCAGCAGTCGTTCCGGAAAACATAAAAAATGTCCACAAAATAGTTTTAAAGGGCCGTAAACATAAGTTGTGTGAGATAGCTGATGCCTTGAAGATATCAGAAGGTAGTGTCTTCACAATTTTGCATGAAAATTTGGGCATGTGCAAATTGCTTTCAAAGTGGGTGCCGTGTTTGCTGTTTCACGAAGGCAATGAACCGTGTCACAAGTCGATGAACACGATGGTTCAATTGAGTGAATTACGTTTTGAATTGTTTCCCCACACACCGTGCTCCCCAGATTTGGACCCCAGCGACTACTGGCACTTTGCAGATATGAAAAAAATGCTCCAGGGAAAGAAATTTGGCTCAAATGAAGAAGTGATTGCGGAAACTGAAGCTTATTTTGGGGGCAAAGACAAATCGTTTAATATAAAGGGAATTGAAAAGTTAGAGGAGCATTGGAATCAATGTACCATACTGGAAGGAAAGTATATTGATGATTAAAGTGGAATTTCTAAAAAAAATTTTGGTTTTCTTAGTTAGACCGGAGACTTATTGAGTAATGTGTTATCACATGCGATAGTTTTCGAGATTTACGAAAAAATCATGTTAATGATTGGCCAATTCCATAAATCAAATACGGATTGATAGAATTTGTTGTGACTTGTTCGGAAGTGATCATTGCAACCAAAGGGTTCAACCCCTATAAGCCAGCGCTAAACTCTTGCGACGTCGTTTCTTTTTATCGCAACTTTCCAACACTACGTAACAACGATCTCGAAGGCTCATGTCCGGTGACAGGTTCTATCCAAATACCTGTCGTACTTTCAGTTGCATGGCAGGAATTTACCTTTGATTCATCGATTCGTTGCGTAAATATCCGGGATACATCTCGGAACGTGAGCTGCATTGCAACGGGTGTGTAACACCCTTGAATGGTATCGACAACTCTCTAATGATTCACCAAATTCTTCGACGAAAAGCCGGGTTTCGAAAAGTATTACACAACTTGCCGTGCTGCATGAGTTTTACGAGATATTTTAGACAAATAAAGAATATTTCAGCCGTGTCCAACGATACTTAACGATTAGGATTTTCGATAATAAACGTGAAACCGGTATTCTGAGTTTCTCATTTGCATGGTTGTTAATTGCGTAAGAAAATTATATTTCCAGGTTTCTGAGATACTTCTTCTTTTTTTCTTTTTTGTATACATACGATTTTAGATGCAAACATCGTTTAGTCAGCAAGGGTGAATTTAAGGAAAGGAAATATATAAAAGGTCTTTGAAGAAATGAATCATATAAAAGTCTGAAATATACCAAAAATATCAATTATTTAAAAAAGGGTTTGAAGATTATCGAGTGTAATTTAATGACAAAAAAGGTGATCAGCTTGAAATTTTATAAAAGTTTATCAGAAAATTATGAGGTTAAAATACATGAATAAGTAACTTGTTTTAGTTATAATTGTTTTGGTTACGAATAACAGTTATTGATGAAGAAAATTATTTTTGGTTACGTGTAACCATTATGTATCTGTTACAAGCCATTATGTACGTGTTCTATTTTGGTTATCTAAACCAATATCGATGACGAGAGTTCTGTTTTGGTTACGTCCATAATTTACGTACTTTGTAAGACAGAATTCAGATTTTACTTATTAATTAACAGACGTATCTAACTGTTGAATAAAAAGATTGATCTGTACTATTTTCAAAATTTTTTTTCTAAATATATAAATTTTATCATTTATTTTAGGTGATTAACAATTACTATTAATGCAATGTTAAAAATGTTAAAAAATGTTAAATGTTAAATGCAAATGTTAAAATGTTGAAAATTAACAATGGCGGAACATAATCGAAACAAAATTTCTGTTATTGATACCAGTTATCGGTATAGCATTAAAATACCATTTTCGTTGTTGATAATGGTAATCGGAATAAAATTTTGCTCATCGATACTGGTAGTCAAAGAAGTTTTAATCAGTTATACTGACTATTTGCAACTGAAATTATTTAAATATTATTATTAGATTTTATAGAATATCTGAATTTGTGTTCTGTAGTTTCTGAAGATTTATAGTTTATTTCTTTATAATATTTTATCCAATAATGTACTAAATAATAAACTATTTTTATTAATTATTGAATAATAAAAAAGAAAACAATTCTTAAAAATATTCAAATCAATAAAATTGCTATGTTGTTAACAGCAATTTTATTTTATAATATAAACTAATTTTTTAAAATTTAAATACTTTTATTACTGTTTTGTTTTAATTAAAAAATGTTGTGCCTTGCATAACAAAACACACTATAACAAAATTGGGAATAATTTATGAATTCCTTTTCAAACCCTCATTTTTGCAAAAATAAATTAAATAAATCTATTATACTCACATTTGTCAACTTCAACAGGTTTCTTTCACACCAATAAGAATTTCTGTAAAATAATTTATTCGCGTGAAAAAAAGATTTTTCATTCATGTTAACAACGTGTATAAGACAGTAAATGCTATTGTCAACATATTGAGGCTATAAGTCATTGATGATATTGACAACTTACATGCTGTCGTTAAAACGAAATTTTAGATGAACTCGATTCACTGAAAATGATGAAGCGATTTGGAATTGAAGATATGCGATCGCACGAACCGATGACAATTGACGATGAACTTACACTCTCACTGTACTGACACTGAGTCTTACTGGCTTTTTATACGAGATGCAGCTTCCTTTAAGCTAACCGCAAAATCCCCCACCTACAATCAGCAGCACGTGGAACAGCTTCAATGTTTTTATACGGATTCATTTAATACTATTAAAATCAGAAATGTAATAGTAAAGTATCCGAATTCGTGAGAATGAACAGAGTTGTATCAGGAATTTGTCCAATTTCAGAAACTAATATTTTTGGATATATTTGTAAAATTCGGAAACGTGTATTTAAATTTAAAAAGACTATTTTGAATACTGGATGTAAGAAGACTGTTTTGAATTAAGATATAAAAAAGATTATTTTGAATTGAGATGCAAAGATTATTTAAATAAAGATTATTTACCTAATTAATTCATTTTTCATGTATTCAAACAATAAATAATTTTTAATTAACTATTGTAACTTTAAAAAAATATATTATCACTATTACATATATTATCAGTATTATTTAATATAAAATGCTTTTCTTATCCACATCTTGTATTTTGAAATATTTTACTATAAACTAATTTTTACTGAAATAATACCCCTTAGTATTTGATTAAAAGCATTAATATTTTTTATTTGAAATCGCCTTGTTGTGAAATTAAAAGGTAATATTTTTCAAGTACGCAAAATAGTACTATAATAGTACAATATACAATAAGTACAATAGTATGCAAAAATACTATTATAGAAAAATACTAAAAAAAGTATAAATTTATGATTAATATTTATAAATTGTATTTATATATATAATTATACAAATTATGGAAATTTACAATTTATATTTTATACGGATTTTAAGTGCTTTTGTCTTTTTCTGTTATTTATTTTTGTGTGGAGTAAGTATATTTTCTTTTGTTGTTTCACAGAATTATTTTAGTTTTTCTTATTTATTTGATTTTGTATAAAGTTGGTATATTGTACTTCGTTATATTTTTATAGCCCAATAAATATTAAATGAACTGGAAACTTGTCCGTATTTGTATTATTTTAGTTTTTCTCATTTGTTTAATCAGCATCGAATAACAGTTATATAAAATTTGTAAGTATTAATATTTGTTTTCTGCTTTAAGTGTAAATTCCAAAATTGAATTGATCGTATTTTGGAAGTAACGGAATTCGAAAACCGGTTTTCGAAATCCATGCTTGTTTTAGCTTTAACTTCTGCCGAAAAACTTTTATTATGACAATTGTAGAGACGAGAATTATACATCCATTTTTTCAGTTTTCAAAATAAAAAATAAGAAAAAACTGTATTCTTATGATAATAAATAACAACGTTGAATGCAAATTTTCTAGTTTTATTAATTTAATTTAATTAGTTTAATTGAGAAATTTTCAAATTTACCTACTTCCAAATTTTCAAAATTCTAAACTTTCAAATTCTGAATTTTAGAAATTTTGAAATGAATAACTTTCCAAATATCTAACTTTAAAAAATTGTTAAATTAGAAATTCTTGTTTATTTTGAAATCTAGAGATTTTGATATTTTGAAGATTAGACATTTTACAATTTTAGGACTTTAAAACTAAAATTTTCTCGAATTTAACAAATTGAAATAATCAGATCCAACCAAATTTAGAAAGTTTTCCATCTTTCAAACTTACAAATTTTTTCCGCTACTGCTACCTCCTTGAGTATCATTCTACTAAAATAAATTTTCATTCATAATTTCGTGTATTTAATAAGAATAGTTAAATAGGATACGTATCCAATTTTATTGATAATAAGACAAGACTTTAGAGGCTAATAAATATTCCTTAACTATTTTAATAACTTTCAAGGCAAACAGGGTTAAAAAGGGGTAGTCTCTATTTAACATAATGTGATCTATTTTAATTCCTATCCAATTACGCTAACAAAAATATTATTAACAAATCGAAGCTCGTATTTTTAAGTAGTAAGAAGTAGGAAAAAGATACAGTTGGATCATTAAACTTTTAAACAATTTTTTATAATTTTAATATTGATTATAACAGAATAACAACTGGTAAAATTTAATGAAATATTCAAAAATGTAAAAATAAAAATATAATTTAACACATATCAATATGTGTTCAAGTATATTGATCTATTTTTGAGCTTATAATTTCAGATTGAACGATTCAAGTGGTTCAAACTTGGTATTATAGATCATGCATGCATTTAGAGAATTTACATTTTCAAACATTTGAAAGTTTAGACTAAAGAGTACAATTTGATGGACATAAATATGTTGATGTTGGGTTTAGTTGTACATATATGTACATATCTCCAAATTAAATGGATCAAAAATCCTCAAATTTTACAAGTTATATTTGCTACCATATAAGTCTCATGGCAACTAAAATAAATGTAACATTTACTCAATAAGTAACAAAATTTTACAGCATATCTGCTCCTTTTTCTTTTAACAAGAATTTTCGTTAAAAATATGGTATAACTTCTATACGAGCAAAATATAAAACCTACACATATTTTTATAGTAATTAATAATCAATATACAAGGTTTATAAATGGAAAAAAAGTATCCGTCATAAATCTCGACTTTACAAACGATAGAGAGGAAGCATTAGAGAACTATTATCTTATCGTCTTGGCATGCATCGTTAATTAGCCTGGCTAACATATGTTAATGTAAGTACGTGGATGTTGCGGTTTTCCACGCACTTGATATCGTTACGTTATATCGAAAATGAGGACGATAGTAAAGGAAAATAAGTATTTTCAATTTTCCACGAATTACATTTGCAAATTATGGATCTGTTTCAGTTTTAGAATTCATTCTTACCCACATAATTTTCCTCTTTTTTTGTATTCATTTTCCATATTTCTATGCACCTTTACAGTAAAGTATTTTTGATCTGTTGCTGAATCAAATATGTTAATCCTATTCTTGTTCTTTTCTTTATATTAAACTTTGCATTTACTTCTCTAGCATTTGAAATTTCATAAAAATTTATTACTTAAAAGTTTGGATAAATATAGTATGTTTTAAATGTGATAAATACTTACATTGTCATCCATAAGTATTTCCAAAGTTTGAGCACTGAAAACTGTCCATGTTAGTATTTGATAAATCTATAAAGTATTAGCAACAAAGATGTTCTTAGAATAATATAAAACAATAAAAAATAAAATTCAATAACATAATCAACAACAGTTGCAGGTATCCTAATATTTTTAAAATAGTAGTCAATGTCAAGATTTTATTATATTTAAAGGAAAAAGTAAATGTTAGTAATATACTATTATTACTATACACTGACAAAGTTTCCTCCGAATTGATATATCCATGACATTTACTTATTATAATTTTCTTTCCTATGAGAACTTTCAAAGTGAATACTTCAAATAATAGTATTAAACTAGGGAGAGCAACTGGATCAATTGGGTATAAATAATATTTCAAGTATGTTCCGTAATAATTTGATATTGAACGTAACAATAACATTGCTTATAATAAGAAACATAAAAAACCAACAGAAACATACGATATAATATATACACCTTAACTTAAAGTCCATCAATGCAACCTAAATCATACAACATTTGACTGAATTTGAAACAACAAAAACACGTAAACTATTATTTGAGATTGACAACGAAGAAGAAACAATTAAATATCATTCTTGCAACAAGTATGTATTTTATTTCCTGTTATTTTTAATTTTGTATTTAGAATTTGAGTAATCAAAGAAAAATTACAGCGCTGATTATAATGGACAAAGTTTACTTCGCGATAATAAAATTCCTGGAAATTTTTTAAATCACAGAGAACTTTAACCTTTGCTTTATATGATTTCAAATTAAAAAACACTGAAGGTGGATCACTTGGTCCATTATATTTAAAATCATCCAATACTGATCGATTAATTTTGTATCAGAGCTAATGACATCAGTTTGCAAAATAGCACAGCTACAAATTCGATTCAACAAGTACAAATCAACAGATGCTATACATGGATACGTTCTAAGAAAAATCGATCATACATTGAGCATCTGTCTAATGTGCTTAGAGACGTTACAGTAAGGCAAATGGTATTCGTACAAAAACACAAAAAAAAATCATTGTATCTGTACGGATTCGTTTCCACTTAAACCATTTTACAAAACAATGTCAAGTTTAATCAACTGGATAATCATCGCCTTTCTGTATTATATTCATTTTTGTATTGAATCATCCATAAGTATTTCACACATCAGTTACATATGCAATTTTTATTAATTTGAAGGTAACAGCAAACAATTTAATGTTTTTTAAAAGCAAATTTCAATGGAGTCCACAATTTGGCACAAATCATTGGCTATTCTCTAGAATCTTCTTCAAAATCTGTATTCTTTATTTTTGGTTAATGTTTAAGTAGCAATTGTCATCCAGTTTGAACTAATTTATTTGAATTATTAAGTTACTCATTTTGAGAAAAGCGGTGTTTCAATTTCAACATTCATAAATGTTTTGTCTAATAGGAAGATATAAAACAAGGCTCGATGAGAATGTACACAGTGAACGTATCCTGATATATTGTTTATTTCATACATACTCTCACATTTCATTATCGTTTCTGTGTCAGAATGCAGCCAATTTTCTTTCTTATGGCACATGCCAGGCACAAGTTTGTCTCCTCCTCTCTTTCCTCTCATGTTCTTCCAACTTACCCACGCACTAAAAGGCATATCGTCAACTATAAGTTCATGAAGCCAATTAACATATGAATAAAACATATAAAAACCTCTCTGAAACGTAAGTCCATACTCAAACAATAAAATCTAAAAAATAAATTAAAATATTCTACTAAATTTCCATTTTCGATAAAGTGTATTCCCCATTTTATAACTTTTGCGTTTCATAAATTAAGAACACATATCGTTCCTCGACCATCTCGATCGTAAGAAGCATATAATAGTAAAAGGTATAGTTTAAAACAATATAGAGATTAATATATATCGCAAATACGACCACGTATCTTTTAATCGTACCGAAAAACAATATTTCAGTGAATTTCACTTGACGTACCGTGCACATATTTTCGTTATAAATATTAGCTAAATAATGTAACAGCACTTCTCTTAGATCCCCACGTGATCTCGCAAAGACGACCGCGTTTATATTCGTAAAGTCATTTGGTCCGATCGTGGTAACCAGTCTTTCCTCAATAATAACGTTGACAATCTTGATAAACGCGATCGTGTTTTTTTCTAACAAAATGCGTCCTCGATCCTACTATCACAGTCAAGTCTCCCGTTTCTCTCATATCCCATATTTTAACCATAAATATAATATAACACAGTGATGGGCAGATCAAGTGACCGTCGAAGAGCTTACGGGCACTAACCTGCAAGCAGTGTACAAGTATGCTAAACAAAGAGAACAATATTAAATCTTCCCACTATTGAGAAGTAAAGAAATATTATAATTAATGTTACAAATTTTCAAATTTTCAAACTCCAAAATTGTTTAATTTGGAATTCTTCAAATCCAGAAGTTTTCAAACTAAAAAATTCTTAAATTTAAAAATTTTGATATTTTCAAATTCTCAAGTATAGGAATTTGAAAATTAAATTAAAAATTTGGAGATCTTCAATCTTCAAATTTAAAAATTTAGAAATTTTCAATTGTTTAAGTGAGAAATTTAAGAATATTCATTTTTTAAATTTAAAAATTTACAAATATTCAAATTTACGGGATTGCAAATTTTTAAACTCTAAGATTTAGAAATCTTATAACTTCTAAATTTGCAAATTTAATTGCTGCAAATAAAATAACAGTTTACAGAAATAAAATATGTTTACGGCAATAAAATAAGAGTTTACAGCATTTGCGAGTGCACACTACTTGCGCGTTTGTGCGCCGCGCTCTAGCGGGTACAGTTGTCCATTACTGATATAACGCTTTATCCAAACGTTCCCTTGTTTCGCACAGAAACACGTTCAAGTAAATGGAATATTTCGCGAGCACTTTTCGCAACAATCGACCCGTGTTGTCAAATAGAAAAAGAAAGAAAAACAAAAAAATAGAAGGAAAAAGAAATAGAAACTGTGTTTTCATTTCCTTTCCGAACGATGACAAATTTTGTAGGAACACCAGTGTGCGCGGGAAATGCAATGTTTTTTTTTGTTTTGTTTTAAAAGGCGCGGTATTCGATGTTTGTCAATGAAAATTGTACAAGTCCAAACGATCAGAACACCGCACAAGCTCATTTGTTACAATGGAGTCTCGCTATATGGCCCACTGAGCGAGTTTCCCTGCACACGGTTTTCTACATAGACTACTGACTCTTCCTGCTATCGTAACGCATGAAAATCTCGATATTCTGATGGCTGAAATTCAATTTGACTTTTCGACATCATTCAAATGTATAAGTCTTTAGACTTAGAATTTTAACCATTTTCAAATTTACAAATTTTGAGATATAGGAATTTCAGATTTAAAAATTTAGACATTTCCAAATTTATGAAGATCTAAATTTATAAATTTTTAAATTCACTGATGTTTAAATTTATAAATTTCCTAATTTACAGGCCTCGAAATTTGCAAATTTAAAATTGTTAAAGGTACAAAATTTAAATCCATAGATTTAAAAATAGATAAACTTTCAAGTTTACATATTTTAAGTTTAGAAGTTTCTAGTTTACAAATTTCTAGTGCAGAAAGACTTCTGTTAATAGTCCTTTTCACAATTTTTTCTGCTTCCAACAGCCTCATCTTAGATTACATAAAAAATTAAATGTATATTTTGTTGAGCCAATATGAAGTCAGAAAGATTTAATGAAATTTAAAGATTTCGAACCATATCAGAGTATCGAAATATCAGTCAATCTCGAAATTTTCCGTTCACATTCAATCTCGAAAATCCTTAATTGATGTTCATTATTTGTGTTTCAGTGACTGCACACAGTCTCAGTAGGGAGGACAAGCAAATTGCAATAGATGTTCCAATTATATGGTCCAGTGCACAATGTTTTATCTCCCACAGCCCCGTATGGAGCCATATAGCGAGACTGCATCGTTTTCCGTATTTCAGCATCGTTTTTTTTTCGTCGCGACAAACTGTACAATCGTTTTCGCAACGGCGCAAATGTAACCCCGTTTAATTCTATGATGTAACTCTTTGCAAGCGATCTTCGGTTTAAAAAGATAGTGCTCCAACTAGCTCAAAATACATAATAATCAACAAGTAATCGCGAAATATGCATTATTCTATTGTATATATATAGCTTTTTTCTTTATATTATTATATATATATGTATATATATACCACTTTGTTCATTATACTCTTGTATGCAGGGTATATATTATAATAAGTGACTAGTTTAAAAACGAAAATCTCTTCGCTCGCATGTTGCGCGAATAATTTTCTTCGCTTTTCGTCGATTTAATTTAGACATACAACTAATAGGTTCGCACGTGTATCCTATACACGGTGTTCACTGTTACTCTGAAGCCTCTTGATTAATTTGCAAACACGACTGAAAGTCGAATCGAGTTACGCATGGCTCAATCTAGGTTATGATCGTTAACGATCCTGGTTCGAAGGTCTCTGTTTTGTGTCATTTTACGAATTTGCCTATTACATGCGTTTGCAACCTCGAAAATTCTAGGTACTAACGTTAATAATGCCTAATTAAGGACCGCCGAAGCGACGATGGTCAATCAGTCGATCGAATTGTTTCTCGTTCGCGAAAATACTCGACGTTGACCACGAAAGACAACGACAATATTAATACGAGACGCTTCATACGAGGCGACGGGGACTCGTATTATTTGGTTGCATTAAATTATTTAGCCTCATCGGGGGCTAACTCGGAGCGTCTTCCGGTTCCACCACGCCACCGGATACGCTCGGCTCCGTTTCGCTGCTTTGGCTCATCGACACGAACTGCTGTGACAACGTCTGCAGACTTTGTCGCACCTAAAACATTCATTATTACGTTACTATTATATCAAATTTCAAGTTAAACATTTTTATTTGAATAAAAATATAATTATGTGAGACAAAACGGAATTGATCAAATCATATTCTCACATCTAATTTTATTAGTGAAGATTCTTAAAAATTACGTGATGATTATTATTTTAGATATGTATGTATCTTTTCACATTTTATAATACAAAGGTTCTAAAATAACCTTGATTAGATTCTAGAAGTAACTTAGTTTTTGAAAAATAAATAACTGAAGATTTTGGAGAATTATTCATGTTTTCGAAAATAAATAGACTTTGCAAAATAAATAACTAAGGTTTTGGAAGATAAATAACTCAGGATTGAAAAGACAAATAACTCATGTATTGGAAGATAAATAACTCAGGTTTTGCAAAATAAATAACTTAGTCTTTGTAAAATAAACAAATCAGATTTAGCTTTAAAGATGAAGTCACGTACCTTTACTATCTGATCAAGGTTTGTGTTGAGATAATGCAAAAGTCGATCCTGCGTGAAACGTTCCGGCGAAACGAGCGGATGGTTTAGATAAGCTGTGTGTAGCCTGTCGATGCGAATCATCATCAAAGCTGCCGACACGTAGAGAGCTGCTAAGAGAGCTATCAGAATAGTAATCACTGTGCTAGTTTTCAGTCCACCCGTGAACAAAGACAATAGGACTTTGGATTTGCTGGACCTGGCTGGAAGCAACGGTACTGGTGTTGGTTCAATTCTGAAAGTACAGAAAGAATGATTAAAATTCAAATGAAACATTTCACTGTATTTTAAAAATATTACAAAATAATTATATATGGTAGATCTCTAATATAGAAAGTCTAACATGATTTCAGGACATGAAAGTAATGCATTAAGTATGCATTGGGCACTGGTGGGTATTGTGTCAATGAAGTCTCACGGTAATTATTTACTTTATTCATATCAGGTATTTACGGTTTTTCATTGATTCTGAAGATATTGAATGTTGTCAAGGTCAGTGTTTTGAACATTTTTTGTGTATACATGTCTTTATTTTTGAGATATAAATATCTGTATCTGAGTTAGGCTCGAGATAAGTGGAAAGCAAAATATTGAACTTTATGAAATATTGAACCTTTTGATTATATAAAAAATGTTTATCATTGCATAAAAAATGTAACGTTTCTTATATTAAAATCACACTTCCGTCGATACAAAAACTAAGCAATATTGTAATACTTTAATCATAGTATCATTTTAATTTTACATAAATGTTTTACATTAGATAGGTTATTGGATTAATAAATTAGCTAGGTTATTAATTTAATAACCTAACTTGATTAATGAGTGGATGATGTTATTAGGTTGAGGTAAGCTATATGAAATAAATACGCAACCGCCATTTGCATGAAGTATACAGATAATGAAGTATAACTGCAACGTGAAACTTAACGTCTGCAAAGTCGATCTATATCTCGAAAACGAAGATGCGGTGGCAACAAAAGAAAAGTTATTCAGAACAATGACCTTGGCAAGATATTTCAAGGTCAAAGTCCGCGAGAAGCTAATGTGCGAATGTGAATAATATTTAGCACGGAGGAATAATTACTTTATGGGTGGTGACAAACTCGGCCTGGTGATAGGAGGTGCAACACCATCCGTGTCGGTGCACACGGTTGGCGGTCTGGAATTCAGATCCGTCCCGCTTTCGGACATGCTGGAATCATCTTCTTCAGGGTTCACCTCAGAGTCATCAACCACCAACGTATCCGGAGCGAGGAGCTTTTGCTCGTTCGTAAGTGGCAGAATAGCGGGCGACGGTTGCGGCTCCATAGCAGCATCCCAAACCTGTTTCATTAACTTGAACGTCGAGTCCCTGGACAGAAGGGAACAGAAAACGTGCCTCTCCTCTTCGGTAGCGATTGCCACCGCATTTGGAATGATTCGCGCGGTCTTTTCCTTGCTGATCTTCAACACGGATGCCGTCGGTATCAGCAGCTTCGTCACGTAGCCGAACACGTTGCTGTAGAAGGCGAAGTAGTTTGGCGTGATGTACAAGTAGCCTTGCAGCAGAATGTCGCCTACCAGCGCACAACTGTAGTAATTCAACACTCGTTCATCCGCAGCGACCTGAACGGCAAAAGTTTTTTCATTAATCGTCGATTCCGAATATCATACTTTGTCTTAACGTTTAGTTAGATGACTATGATATCTAGACAGATATCTGTCTATGATATTTAGTTAGATATCTGTCTATGATATTTAGTCAGATACCTGTTTATGATATCTACGTGGATGTCTGTCTATAATATGTAGTCAGGTATCTGTCTATAACATCTAGTTAGACACCTGTCTATGACACTCTAATCAGACACCTGCTTATGACACTCTGATCAGACATTATGACACTCTGGTCAGACCTATCTATGGCAATCTATTCAAATATGACTTTTAAGGAGAGACATGTCTATGATATTTATTCAGACACTTGTCTATGACAATTTAGTCAGACACCTATCTATGGCATATTATCATACATCTTCACTTCGCTATAATAAACTCTTATTATATTATTACTATTTAAGGAAGTAAAAGTTATAGCGGTGTCAATCATTTAATTTCTCTTTTACAGAATAAAAAGTATTATTAAGCCGATGAATAATTTTCTTTGTTCATGTAGTTTAATAGTTCTACTATGTTGTTGTATAAAACTATAATCTGTACCACTTTTTACTTCGATAGATAGACAAGCAGTCATTCATTTAAATTAATATCTTAAGTAAATTAAATTTGGTCACAACATTAAGGTTTTAATATTTATATATCAATACATAAGTAGATTTACAGTTTGTACTATTTTATATTGGTTATACATGTTTTGATGATAAAACAAGTTTATATAAATGACAATTTAAATTATGTTTATTTGCGTAAATCAATATTGCAAAATGGGTGAAGTGTGAGTGTATAGTGTATGGATGGGAGAAGTATGAGTGTGTGAAGTATGAGTATATGAAATATAAATATGTCAGCTATGAGTGTGTGAAGATGAATATATGAACTATGAGTGTGTGAAGTATGAGTACGTGAAATAAGAATATGTGAACTATGAGTATGCAAAGTATAAATATATGAACTATGAGTATGTGAAGTATGAGTGTGTAAAGTATGAATATGTGAACTATGAGTATGTTAAGTATGAATATGTGAACTATGAGTATGTGAAGTATGAGTGTGTAAAGTATGAATATGTGAACTATGAGTATGTGAAGTGTAAGTATGTGAAATATGAGTATGTGAAGTATGAATATGTGAACTATGAGTGTGTGAAGTGTAAGTATGTGAAATATGAGTACGTGAAATAAGAATATGTGAACTATGAGTGTGTGAAGTGTGAGTATGTGAAATATGAGTATGTGAAGTGTGAACTATGAGTGTGTGAACTATGAATGTGTAAAATATGAGTATGCGAAATATGAATATATGAAATATGAATGTGTAAAGTATAAGTATGTGAAATATGAATATATAAAGTATGAATATCAAACGATACATGTGTGTATGCGAATATTAGCTTTATACGAACATCTGCAGATTGCGATTTCGATAAAAAGTTGAGTTATTGATTATTTCAGAATAAACTGAGTTCCGGCAGGAAGTGACGTATAATACAAACGAAAGAGTTACAGTATTAGTTTTCTGTGCACTGTGAATTTATTAAAAATTGTTTATTCTTGCAATTACAATGAAAGCTCTATTTCGGTTAATATTTAACTAAACATTGTTATTTAAATTTCCACCACTATAATTCTTTATTCCTTTCTTTAGCGCAGCAACTGTTACAATCTGTCTTATCTGTTAAAATCTAAAACTGTTAAAATGTACAGATTTTTTACTGTCTTTACAAATTTTTACGAGGCAATATAAGGATAGTGTATGAGATACCGTACGTTAAAACTTGGAACAACAAACTAGGTATTTCTTACTGTTACCATTTCTTATATGTACGATACACACCTGATAAAACTGAACAAGTTATTTTAGAGTCGACACATAAAGCAATACCGTTCACCGTTTGTAATAATGTTTTTGAAAGAAAAACAATGTTATCGAGAAGAAGTAGACCTGCTACGTATTATTTCTTATTTGCTTCTAACCAATAAGATAAATTTGATTGCTTTTTATACCAACCAGCACGCGATTGATAACGCGTCAATTTCAAGTAAGAAGGATTAGGCGCGCCAATTGAATGAAAATAAAGAACAAATTGTAGTACAGTAGATTTTCATTACATGTATATGCATAAAATTCAGGAACTGGCAATATAAACAGAGGTACGTCGAAGGAGAGTCTTAAAGTCTGTGTAATTAATGTTAAAAAGTTACTTAATTTGAAAATTTTTATATCTGCTCATTTGAAACTTACGGGATCATAAACTTGAGAATTTGTACAGTGATGAACTTTTAAATTTGTAAATTTGTACATAAACAAATTTTTAAATGAGGATTTGTAATTTTAGAAATTTCGGAATACGACAATTTGTACATTTGTAAATTTTTAAATTTAAGAAAATGTGTATTTATAAATTTTTAAATTCAAGAAAATCTGTATTTATAAATTTTTTAACATGGAAATTTTTATATTTATAAATCTTTAAACTTGAGAATTTGTATATTTACAAATTTTTGAATTCTAGAAAATGTATATTTATACATTTTTTTAATTGTTTAATTTACTAAATTTGGAAGTTTCCAATTTTAAAAATGTATAAAATGAAAAACTTGTAAACATCAGCATTTATGATTTAAAAAATTAATAAATTTAAAAATCTAAAAATATAAAAATTTCTAAATCTGTTTTAAAAATCGATAAGTACTTGTATTTTACCATGTACTTTTAAACACCCTCAAACGTAAGCATTCCCAAGACAAAATTTCAGTGCACATAACTATTCAAAGTGATTCAAGGTCACTTAAGATCATGAACATAAAGAAGAACGAAAAACACAAATTCATTAGCTAATCAAAAATACATGGTTTTATTAAAAAAAAATTAATTGACCTTCAGATTCCCTAAGCACATAAAAATACTGCAAAAGTATTTTGCGCATCATATAATGAACTATTCAAAATTAAACAATTTTTACCTCAAAATTTCTTCCTATTCCAAAAAATATAAATATAACATAGATTTTCGTTTGTATCACAAATAATAGGATTTAAATAGTCAAGTACAGTACTGAAGAAACTCTTTCTTTATTGCCAATTACAAGAATTTTGAACTAATACACCTTAGTAGCGATATCACATTTGTTGTATTCATAGTGGGATGCAAATTATTATACTCGAATAAAAAGTTATTTTTTATAGCAGTAACTGATGAAATAGGTCAGATATTTTTATTGTTAATGTTACAATATAATGTACTGTATATTTTGTTAGGATGTATTACTTTTTAACGATAATACGTGTAATTAACCCTTTACACTCGGAAGGCGACTCTTTATTTAGTTTAATCCTTAACAGTCATATTACATCAGAATAACATACCTTATACAATAGAACAAGACTCCAATCTTCAAAAATGTTTCTTACAGAGCAGCTACTCATTATTTTATAAATCTTTACAAAATTATTTTATAAATTTTCACAAAAATTCTAAATAACCTCTGAAAGTTGTCTTGACATTTCACAGCTGATTTCACTAAACACGAAAAGTTGAATAAGAAAAAAAATCAAAAACGTGAAAAAGTTGAAGAAATGACGGTTTTCGCAGAAAAATTCAAAACTTTTTTCGACTTTAATATAAAGAGTTAAAATTTCAGCTGAATCCTCTTGAGATATGTCAGATTGAGGAAGAAATAAAGAGTGTTTCAAAAAAGGTGTTTATTCAGATTTTCAGGACACAAAGTAGCTAAGACTGAAGCTAAATTGACTGAGGTTGTTTCATATCCCAGTTTGACTATTAATACAACAATTTGTAATAAATATTTGTTAACTAACTCTATAATATTATGTCATGAACATTGTAACACAATTAATAATAAAGAAATAATAGCTTCAAAAGAATTTGTCAAACTTTTCACCTGAAAGATTTTTAAATATCCGACAAGTAAAAATGCCTTCGAGTGTAAAGGGTTAAAAGTAAAAATCGAACACTATATTATAGAATAAAATACAAGTATTCAATATTTCGGTCCGGCATTTACAATTCTGAACACATAAATATCAGCACCTACCGAGTATAAAGTCGCTCAAATCGAAGTCAAGGTTTTCGCGCAACCACTAACAGGAACATGGAAACGTACACTTGTATCCACACTCGCCTTCTATTCCACAATATATCAATAACATTGTTAAACTAATTAAAATCGCGTCGGATAGTTTGAAAAAGAAGTTCTTCGAGTACAATAATTCGGCTATCCGCTGTAGATAGATGGAGGTAACGGTTTCGTTCGCGGAATACCAAGGATAATTCTAAAAGAATTTCCGTTCCGGCTTTACATTCCACACTCTAGTTCACAAAAGTAGCCCCGTGAAAGTGAGACGTTGAAACTTTCTTGAATTACCTGAGAGAAATGCCTGTGGAATTTCTTCTGTCTCGCACTGCTGGTAGTCGTTGGCGAAGACGTAGACGAAGATCTGCTAACCTTTCCTGGGGTCTGTGAGACAGTGCCAGCTGCCATTGATGGTGTACTTCTGCTGAGCGGTTTTGAAAGATGACTGAAACACGACAAATACAAACGTGACATTGAATATACATTTGTTATGCAGAAAGAAATTATGATAAGAAAACACGATTACGGTCAAGTGGGGTAAGTTCGTAAACGGGGCAAGTGCATATACAGGCTATTTTTATTACAATATGAGCGAAATTTCTCCATTTAGTATGTTTGTTTCCTTGTTTTGTTTCACTATATCCCCTTTTATATTTCAGCTAAGAGTACTTGCTTGCAGTATAGAGTACTTGCATAATGCAGTAAAAAGCATTTTATAGCAGATTTGTTAATAATTCTGCTCTTGCCCCATTGCACATGAAATAAAGTTTCAAAATATTTAATTTCAAGTTACGCTTTTACCGCATTTTCGGGGAAAGTGCAGAGTAGTTAACATTTTAAACAATTTCCTATCAAAATCAAAATGTACAAGGAAAATTAAGGTCCTAGTTAATATTAATTAAATAGTAGTAATTGTGCAAAGCGTTCGGTATCGACATTGTTAAGTATTTACATAGCAGACTGAAAATATTTACGTTTAAATACCAACTTTATAAAAACCAGTCTGCACTTACCCCACTTTAATTTATTTTTAATATTGACCATCTTCGATGGAAGGATTCAAGTGCTGGTTTGAAAATATAGCGCGGTCGTAAAATCGTTCAAGCGTGAAAAAATACATGCGAGAGATAACAAATTTTGGTTGTATTTAGAGACGTTTGATGTACTGAAAAATAAGTATTGAATTCCATGTGGACATTATTGACATAATATTTTTGTTAAAAATTTGGAAAGAATATAGTTGTGTAAATTGTTTATCTGAACAATTATTGAAATAAGTTATTTATACAAACATTAATGTATAAGTAAATTATTCATATATATAGCCTAAATAAATATTTCCATAAATTATTTGTATAAACAAATATTTAAATAAGTTATTTATTATAAACCAAAATATATAAATAAATTATATATGTATGTAGATGCTTAAATAAATATTTATATAAATTATCTGCATAAACAAATATTTAAATAAATTACTTATATAAGCACATATTTAGATATTTATGTAAATAACCAAATAATTATAACAAAAATTAAATAAACAGTAATAATCTATGAAAATCTTTTAATAATAAAAATTCTACTTTCAGAGAATTTATAAGTAATAAATAAATAAAATGAATTTAAATACGATACAAAAATTTCAATACACATTTTCCCTGATCATAAAAACTCTACTCACCGCTTAAGTTATAAAATTACAATTCTAAAGCAACGTGAAGAAGATTGAATAATCGAGAATTTATAAGAAAATAAGAGAAAGATAAATTCTATTAAAAATTGGCAGCTTCCCTTGCTGCAGTAACTACAAGAAAATGTGTAGTTTATATGAAAGCAAAGATCCCACCAGTGACACTGGTTCACAGATTAGTCATAAATTGCATCACGATGGCCGTGATTGTTTATTTCGAGTGATTATTAGATTGCAGATGTTCGTGTAATGTGTATTTTTGTAGCAGACGGGTAATAAAATGGGGTATGCACAGATTATCTCATTTTCAGAGTTTAAGGGAGTTTTTTACTTTGCGAATATGAAAACTCAGCGATGTTTGAGACAGTATGAATGTACAATCAACAACGAAACTCATTTCCCTAAGGAAAATATAGCAATCAAGGGCAAGAAAACAACTGTTATCTACATAGAAAGTAACATTTTTGGATTTAAAATATTTGTTTAATAGATCTTTACTATAATCTATTCATTTATTTCAATTTGTTTTGTAATTATTTGGTTACATAAATATAAATGTGATCTGTTATTAAAATTTAGGGATCTTTTAGGATCCAAAAATTTAGAGGTTCGGTTGAGGGTGAAGTTTGGAGACTTCGAGTATGATTTTAAGAAATTTTGGGACCTCTGATGAATAATTGATACTCTCTGACGATCCTTGTTTATCTTATGGTGTATTGGTCAGGAGAGACAAGGATAGTAGATATTAGATTTCCAAAAATGTGAAAATGCAATTTCGCTTTGCCAGGATCAAGAAGCAATATTTCGACATGATTTCTTTTGCAAAATATTCTTTGTACACTTATCTAGCAACGACTCCGATATTGCAATTTACCCTTAACATTTCACGAGCAGAAAACATGCAAGCTTTTATAGAGGAAATTTCTCACGATCTATTTTTCAAAAATGGATGTACCTATTAGCAATCACGTTCCTATGAACGATGAAATCATTTTATTATATTAAAAGTGGCAAATAAAAGAAACTATTAATAAAAACCTTAAAACATTCAAGTTAAGTATGTATTTTACAAATTTTAATAAAATAAATATTTCTAATGTTATCAATTTTATTTTAAAAAATGTACGGGTCTATACCATAATTTGTTAACTTATTGAATTATCAAGAAATATAGATGCGTTAAATTTAAAAGCACCTAATCAAGTATTTGTTAAAGTATTTGTTACAACTTTATTAATAATAAATACTAAATATACTAATTAAAGTTTTAATAATGTCCATACATATAAAATACTATAAAGACTTCTTTTTATTTTGAAGAAAAAAATACTACGTTCTAAGAATTGTTCAATGTTATTGTTCCCTGCAGTGATACATACACAATTGTTACTTTTGCATAATTAAAAAGTGAAAATAAATAGTTGTCTCATTTTTTATTTATAGAAAGCCGGTGTTTATATAAAATGTAATATCAGTAAATATGGATGAAAGTATTATTACAGTTTCTCGATGTTTTTAAAAACAAATCTTGATATATCCCGTTAATAAATCACATTTTGAAAAAGGAAAAATTGTTTTTCGCAGAAACTTCATTTTAGCATGCAATTTTATTTGTTTTCACTTGTCAATTCATATATCGCGTATTTTTGAAATATGGATCAAATGTATTGTAAGTTCGAAACACGTGTCAGTTAAAATATCTTGCAAGATTAAAATATCTGTGGTTCAAAATATATTGCATGTGTGAAATATGTGTAAGCTAAAATACATTGCATGAAACATGACAAATTAAAGTATATGGCATGTTTGAAACATGTATTTCGTACGTATCACAATTATTTAGCGGAGTTGAAAAGCACACGTATAAAAAATACAGAGAAAATTTAAAAATTACTTTCTAATTTTAACTCGAACTTATTTTTTATCGCATATCGTGCATTATGCGGAAAATTTGGGTTATTCATTCGTTTCACTATCGTGATAATTTTACTGTATTTTTGAACATTTAAAAACTTTAAATCAAGCTTGAAGACGATTCAAAAAAATGTGTTATTTCATTTTCGTCGTTAAATAATATAATAATTATTAATATTACATTAATATTATATTAATATCATATATTATATTATTATATTAATTCGTTTTTGAATTAAAATAGATTCAGATTTAGATTTTTAAAAAATACATTTTTGTAGATATTTCGAAATTAACTATTTTTACGTCAAATATATATATTTTTTATATATATTTCAAATATAATAGCCTTTCGTAAATAAAATGGCGGCATAGGAAAAGTAGGCTCATTATTTAACGAATTTTATTATTTTATAATATTTATTTTATTATTCATACTTGTAGTTATCTATTACATTTTTAATTAAAATTAAAATCTTTTACAAATTAGTATCTTCAAAATCAGAATTACATCAACAATCATTATTTATGAGAAAATTTTATTTATATTTATTTTATCATTTATATAATATATTTATTTAATGCACTATCCATAGACTTACACGTGTTTGTGAACACAATAATGTCTTATTTAGATATGTATCATTAGATATTATTTAGAATGTATATTACATTCTAGAATGCTTATTAATGAAAGTTATAATTTTTGTTCAAATTAATATTTTCAAAATAAAGTTTTCGAAAATTATTATCTACAGAAAGATTATATTGTATATAATGTAATATGTATGCATACATATGTATATTGCATTATATGTTTATTATATGTGTATTATGCATATTATTGTATTATTCGTTCATTACATGTTGTGTATTACATTTTATGATGTTTAATAATTGAACAAAAGTTGCTGTTTTAATTAATATTTTCAGAATTACAATTTGCACTATTTTTATAGTTATCATTTATGATAAAATTTTATTTATATTTGTTTCATTATTAATACATTTTAGTTATAAGAAAAGATACGAATATGGAATAATCTTTTTATTGTGTGATTTAGGCAAAGTAGAAATATTCATAAATAAAAAATTAAGCACAGAAATTTGTAAAACTTTACATAATATGTATTACATAAACATAAATATTTTCCAGAACTTTCGTTCATTTTTCCCTGGTCCAAAATTATAGCAAATTCAAATAAGTATAAATTAGAGCAATAATACGAAACACTGTTACTTTCCACAGAAATAAATCATCACACTCTGTTGAAACATTAATAAAAAAGTTTTAATGAGGTACAGGTCGCTGAACTTTATTAATTACTAAACTATTACTTTATTAATTATTAAACTGCCATAAATAATAATATTTGTCTTTTGTATATAATATAAGTCATTATTTAAATCGAATGAAATTTCTATATTTTTCAATTTTATTTAAAATTTCTTTCCCTCATAAAAATTCTAATTAAAACTCGATTCTATGTGTGATGTTATAACAAACGGTAAAATTATCTTTACCTAAAGTGCGATTTTTTCGACAAATGTCTACCAATGCTATTGTAACAAACGCAAAGTATTTTGTCGCACCTTTTGCTCACTCTTCGAATTTTCGGACTCCATATGTCATTGCTCCACATGTCGTACTTCGATATGAACATTTTGGGATCCGTTTGAAGCACCATTTTCAAATCTGATGGACCACAAATCTTAGACAAAAATACTAAGATTCCACAGATTTTCTCATGCAACTGTTTTTCTCTAAGATGAATCGATAATTCGATGACGCGAATTGTCGAACAACTGATTCGTCGAAAATTGGGGAAGCAATT